ATTCAGCTACATTAAACTGTACTGCAGAGGGGATGGGGGATGTGTTGTAGTCTGAGGACACAGCACCGGTTGTGCTGTGGATGGGTGGAATGTTTTCAGAGCAAACGAAAGAATCATCTAAGGCAACCAACTTTTATGTTTGTTTGTTTTTTAAATTCCTACACCGTGACTGATTGACATTCCTTCTGTGTTAATGTTTAAGGTCAAGAAGACTTAACATGGCGTAGCTACTAGGAGGACTTGGCGGATAGTGCTGTGGAATAAAAGTCTTAGAAAAACAAAGAGCCAAGTACTGATTTCTAGGTGTTTGTGTGTATTCACAAAGGTTGTGTTTTCATAGTTGTGTGTATTATTATCCCTGGAAGGCTGAGTTTCCTCCTCACTCAGTGGATGTTGGAGTGCTGACTTCAGCCCAGGAGAATTAACAGTGCTAATGGCTCCTGACATAAAGCACTGGGACTACTTCCATACTGTTGCGGCCCTGGGGCTGAGAGCATCGAAGGCACAAATGTAGTTGGACAACAAAACAAGCAACTATGCTATGTCTACAGATAAATATAGCTACATGCCGGTATACACACAAGCACACACCCAGCGGCAAGGACCCACACACACACACACACACACACACACACACAAAGACATCCGAAGAGACACATTAGTATCCCTCCCTGCTGTCATTCTCCTCCCTACCTTAGGGAGGAGAGTTGACGAGAGGAGAGGACAGTGCGCTGGGAGCGAGAGGTTGTCTGTAAGAGGTTCCCCTGGGTTCTGAGGTTTCGCCCGGTTTGAAAGGGTTTAATGGAGTTGAACTAAGGGCAATTAGCTGGCCAAGACACATGCCGCTGCGGTGGTGAAGAGCAGGACCTAGGCCGACCAACCAGCAGCCACCCTGAAACAACAAAGGAGCATCCGAATATGTCTTTCATAGAGAAATGGACTGTTTGGACAGGGAGTATAGACATTTTACAAACAGCCATGAACCAAGGCTTTGTCAAAGCAGCCTCAGATTTCAGCGTAATTCTCAGACCAAAATATAACCAAGAGGGATAAATGTGACCAGATCCACAAGGTCTGCGGTCATTCCGTGGGCAACGTGTTTGCCACAGGGATCGTCGTGAAGAGCATCGCAGTATTCTAGCTTTTAGCACCTCACCCTCCACTGTCGTGCAATTCCCACATTACCTCCTCTGTGCTGGTGTTCACACATGAGCAACTTGAGTGACAGTGACATTTATGGGCTTGTCCAGACAGCAACCACGTCCGTCCCTCGGGGCCGTCCCTCTCCAAACCTCCCTTGCTCTCCGGAGGTATCCAACAGTGCTGCCCACCCCCCCGACCAAAAGACCCTACTATACCCACTGTCAATAAGTCAGATTGACTGAACAGCAGGCACACAGATTGAATTGTACATATAAGCCAATCCACAATAACAGACTGCTTTAGGTTATTATGCGTAGGAGCTGGAAACCTACTGGGTAGCTGGATAGATAGATGAATTGCTCCCTATGCTTCAGAATCAAAACTAAAATTGATTGGTTCTCCTCTCCTCACATTTCCCTGTGCGCTGTTTACATCGCTGACGTCCTGTTAAAGATGTTGATGGTAGTTGTTGCTTTAAATCCAGGAGTATGAATGATTTTTCTCTAAAATATGCCAGTCACAAGTGCTGCCGGAATACATTGGAAATTCATTAGGGTATGGACTTGACATGACCTTAAGTTGCCCCGGTCTGCCCTGCATAATTAGCATCCACAGAGGAAAGGGGGAGGGAAGTGCTAATATGAAGTGGTAGAGATCCCATGTGTTTTTTCCATTCTAATAAGTGTCAGTCAGCTGGATGTTTTCCTTAGTATTCGAGGCAATAGCAGCCTCCTCTTCCTCTCTTCTCCTCCCCTCTGGCTCCTCCTCTCTATGTGCTGTCTTTCTGGCTCTAATCATGTGGCCATTGTGTATGGATTTACTGCCCTCAAGCCACCGAGAGGGAGATTTGATTTTTCCCCTGCACTGGAGCTTCTTTCCCTCTCACTCGCCAATTTTTTTTTCTAATTCTGTCCTCCTGTCCTCTTCTTGCAGTCTCAAATATTTTCACTGTCCTCTCTTCCTGTTAGATAATCACCCTTAGTTGACTGAAAGCATGTATTCATTCTCTGGCTTTTTCGTAATTTCTTATTTCTGACTTTTTGACCCTGTCTTGCTTCTGTCTTTTCCTTTCCTCCTACTTCCCTCCCCTTACACTTCAATTCATTCAATGACTGAACAGTGGCATACTGAATATGCATGTATTATTGCTAAGTACTTACAGTTATATGTATTCCTGACCCATTTGGTTTTTGAATTTGTTTTGACTCATTGTTTTGTTTTCCAGCCACTCTCACTCTCCTGGCTCCATGGCAGCAGCAGTGCGAGGCAGCGAGTGGTCATGTGGACGCTGCACCTTCTTAAATGCCGGCGCAGCACCTCGCTGTTCCATCTGTGAGGCACCACGCCAGAAACCTGACCTTAACCAGATCCTGCGGCTAAGCAGCACTGAGGAGCATCGCTGGGCCTGTCCCCGCTGTACACTCAACAACCCCCAGGGATCTGGAGCCTGCTCCGTCTGTGGCTTCGGACCGTCCCCTGCCACTCACACACCCCCTACAACCACCATAGCTGCCACTGCCAACGGACTCCCATCCGCTCCGGTTGAACCTCCAACACCTACCGTCACCCCCACAGTACTACTTGAGCCCCATGGACAGCATCCAGCTAAGGACGAAGTGCTGCGACGGTCTGAGAGCAACGGAGAGGTGGTCAGCCTAGAGGGGCAGCACTCTGGCTGGGCTTGTCCTCGCTGCACGCTTCACAACACACCCGTGGCTCTGTCATGCTCAGCATGTGGTGGGCCCAGGAAACTGTCTTTGCCTAAAATCCCCCCTGAGGCGCTGGTGGTGCCTGAGGTGCGCACACCTGTGCTGGGGTTTCCAGTTCACACAGCAGGAACTGCCCCACTACTCATAGACCTAACGGACGACTCTCCCCCAGCCCCTCCATGTGACCCTCAAGAACCTCCCCATGTCTCCTCGCAATCCCTTTCGTCCCCTTTTACTGCTTTCTCCTCCTCCCTGCAAAATAACCCTGTGCCCCGAAGCAGGAGAGAGGTGCCCCCTCCAGGGCGCCCACCAAACCCAGGCACCAACACTCCCAGCCCCACTTCCCCTTCGGCAGCCATTGTGCCACCCCAGCCAGGCCCACAGCGACCAGCCAAGCCAAAACATGCCCAGCCCCAAGAACCTTCATACCCCAGCAAGCGCCTCAGTATCTTGGAGGAAGAAGACTCTCAGCACCATCCACTAGCCCCCCACCTCCCTGTTGCTTCTTCAGTCGCCCCCACCTGGAAGTGCCCTAGCTGCTCGTTGCCCAACCCAGGTAACTCATCTAAGTGTGAAGCCTGCCGATCATCACGGGCAGGTGCTGACCTCATTGACCTGGTAGGCTGTGAGACGGTACGATTTACCCCTGCGAGCCCCTCGAGCCCAGATTTTAGCACGTGGGCCTGCTCCAAGTGTACGCTGCGCAACCCTACTGGTGCACCCAAGTGCTCGGCCTGTGGTTCTTCCAAGCTGCATGGCTTTCAGGAGCAGCAGGCGCCACTGCCCCGCTGCTGTACACACTGTGGCCTCCCGTCAGGGCCTGGCACTGCATCATGCTCCTGTACACCTTCTTCTTCATCCTCCTCGGGTCATAAAACGCGGAAGCAGGCCCGGGGTTTCCCGTCATCCTCTTCTGCCATTGCTTCGAGTTCCTCTTCCTCCTCCACCTCATCTAGCCTTCTGGAGAAGGTAGGACAGTGGAGCTGCCCAGCATGTACGCTGCTCAATGACACCAAGGCCAAGAACTGTGCAGCATGCCACACACCCCAGCAGTACCTCACCCTTCGCAAGGTGGTTAAGCCTCTGAAGAGGAGGGAGAGCATGCATGTAGAGGCCCGTCGACGAAATGATGAGGGCGAGGCCAAGGAGCTTTGGGAGAACATAGTCAGCTTCTGCAGAGAGGTAAGGGAAGATTTAGCTGTAGCTGGGAAACGCAAGAAAACAATTAAATGAGGCACAGTCACTGTGTGTCATTAGTAAATGATAAGAGGTCTGGGGCTTTCAATGGTGAACTCTTTTGTCTCTCACCTTTTTATCACGTCATAAGTGATTTTTCTCTTGTATTTAATTTGCATCGTCTTTAAAGTAGCAAGTTTCCATCTACGAGCATTTGACATTGTAAGATTATCAACAAGTTAATCATGTGTAGCCAATTTTTCCTTTACCTTTACATTTTATTGAGTTTTCTTTGGCCTCTCTGAGGAGTCAAAATCTGCTTATTTCAGTGTGTAATGCGTCGCAGGGGTGCACATTGCCTTCCAGTGCGCAGTTCCCTCATTGTAATTCCTCTTTTTGTTATGGCTCTGGCATTGTTCCCACTCGCTCAGTCTCTCTAATTTCAGAGAAATGCTAATAGGCTTTGTCATTGCCTCTGTTTGCACTTGCTTCGTTAGCAGAGTTTTAAACGACCAGCGGGTGAACGTTCGCCACCTAAATGAGCTGCAGATACAGTGTGTGTCAGTTTTATATCCAGAATACAACCTGCCCTAAGTCGCAGAGAAGTCACTTCACTAAATTCTGATTTCAGAATTTTAAAAGTCTTCTGTCAGGACTGTAACTCTTTCTATTGGGAAGGTGTAATGAGTCCAGTTTTACTGTTGGTTCTGATTAGACCGCTGTTATGTTCTGTTCTTTATTTTATGCTGACAGCCTAGTTTGAGTCTTGACTGTCTATTTCCTGTCCTTAGTTGACGCCAAACACAACTTAGAGTTTTTCTTTAGGGAGATATTAGTACTTGTGACTCCGTAATAGCAGACCTGTCCGTGTGAGATAAAAACATTTTTCATCATTCTGAATGCAATTTCCCTTAAACGTCAACTTCCCTGCATCAATTTTGACCAGTTATTAAAGTATCTTAACAGTTTCTTGTTAAACAGACAGCAAACATTCCTTTTTTTACCAATAGGCAGCGGGAAAAAGAACATTTTCATTAGATGAATAAATGTTAATCAGGAAGTGTTTATTCCTTTTGAAGGGACAAAAACCTAATTATGCTTTTGTAATTCTGCTTGTCTGTTGTCATAACAACCTAAAATAATGATGTATTTTACCTGCTTCCACGCCTTCAAAGATCAAGAAGACTTTGAGATCAATTGTGTCATTCATGGGCCTTGATTGGTCTGATTCACAGTGTCACAGCTGTTTGGAGACACAGAGACGTATTCCCTAGCAACTATAGCTAAGATGTGACGACCTTTATACTGCTTCTTTGTATCACACCACTTTATGTTCACTTCCTCTGCAATACTGAACCTTTTGATGAGCCTGTATTAAGTTGTCATGGATATGCTACTCAGGAGGGTTCATTTGAGACCATTTAAAATTTCTAACGTCCATGCTAATGAGACAGGCCTGATTGGACTAATTAGACCTCAGATAAATATGGGCATTGCAGAATCCAGAACTGATCAGATTCAGGTCATTATTTGGGTCGGCTTATATTCTCTGAATGTTTTTGGGTGTCTGGTGTTTGCCCACTTACTACAGCGGCATGGCACCTATCATGCCATGTTTACAATGGCATGAAGCGAGCTTTAGGATGCATTATTAATGGCTTCTTTGAAAGTCACAGGGCTCACTGCTGCGAGCGTGGGAGGCAAGTTGGCTCGGTAGGAAGGAAGGATATCGGAGATTCCACATCCCCACCTTCCCTTCTTCTTTTCCCAATTTAATATCGTCAGTTAAGCTCGTCTTTCTTTTATCATCTTTCCTTTTCTCCCTACAAATATTTTAGGCCTCCCTCTCTCTAGCTCTGCCCCTCTGCGCTCTTCAAAGCACTTTCCTGTCTTCATCTCCTTTTTATCCCGTCTCCCTCCATCACATCTATCCCCACACGCTCATCCTGGTTTTTTTTTTTTCCTCCTCTCCTCTAATATCTCAAAATATGCTTTCCCCTTGCCACCCTCCCCACCCTCTCCACACGACTGCACTCAATTCTCCAGTGTAGCAGCAGTCAATGTGTGGCTGGCTGTGTGTGTGTGCGTGTGTGCGTGCGCGTGCGTGCGTGCGTGTACGTGCTAAGGTGAACATGGGGCTGGCCTATTTTTAGTAGCAGAGCTAGAGAGAAGAGGAGCAGGAATGATCTGCTTCCCTATAGTGAATGTAATCACTAACAGCATCAACTGCTGCAGCTCGGTTTTAGGGGTCAGAGAGATGAAGCGGAGTAGGATTGGTAAACAAGAGGTGCTACTCTTTTCTAATCCATCTCTGTCACGGCATTAACACTTGGCAAGCACCAAAACACCAGTGGTGAGAATTTAATAATGATAAAAGGTTTCGGTTTGCCCTGTGACAAGGCGTGTGTGCAGTCAGACCACACAAATACAGTTAACGTTGTAGACTGCATGTTTTTTTTTTTTTTCTGGACTTGTTGGATTAGGGGAGATGGTCAATGCACTGTATAAGTGATTGGAGAGTTTGCCCTGATTGTAGCAATCAATATAGAGTAAAACTATGGTCTGACAAATATTATTCTCTCCTCACCTGAGTGGAGTGTGTTTCCTATGCCCCCTTGCTTTTCTTCTCTCCTTGATTGGTTTGGAGAGTGAGAGGTATGTGTGTGAACGTTTGATGCCAGTGCCCGAGAGCGTGTCTGCTTACTCACTGTGCCAAACGAGTAAATGCTACTAACAGCCATCAGCGCCGCTTGTGAACTGTAAAACCCAGCATGGCTGGAACTGGTTCCTCTGTTCTCTCTCCATGTCACCCTCTGGGGGAGCAACAAAAAGATGCTACATTGCAACGGATTGACTTTGATTTGTTTTATTTTTGTTCGTACACCGCTCTTTATGCTACTTGTTGCTTGGATATTTGCCACACTTGGGATTTTGTGTGTGGAGGGGGCGAGGGGTTTGGTTTGCATGTTGGATTGTAGGTTCTGACTGCCTGCGGTGACAGGTTTTCACAGCCCGTGACAGTACCAGGCTGTTCTGGGACACTTTTGTTTTGGGTTTAATAAGTGTGGCACTGTGAAATCCAGCTCTATAGTTCCTTGTCACCACATTTTCGGAGATCAATAGGTTGTCTGTAACATGTAGATATCTAACTACAAGCATTCTATCCTTAAAAAAAGGCCTGACAGTTCTGTGTAGTCTGGGAGATGGCGGGAAGGCAGCAACTTTTCTCAGCTCAGCACTGAATTGGCTGATCGCAGTCTAGTTTGCATGCTGGCACGTGCCCAGAGATAGAATCAGAGACAGCAGCAGCAGGTTCACTAGATGAGGACAGTCAGCTAGACTTACACTGGCAGACGTAACCACACGGAAACCTGAACAACAGAAAAATGTTTTTGTGTGTGCTTGCCATTCATACTGCTTACATTATCCAAGATACGTGATAGTTTCCACTACTGTGCGCTCCAAATGTGAATAGAATAATTGCAGGATGTGCAGTACCGTCTTTCCTTATGCGCAGACTGCAGCAGACCGTTCTGCAAATGGCAGAATTTCATAGCATATATTTACTATACACATCATCAGGCCCTCTTGGTTTATTCATCAACTGAGAGTGCCTTTAAGCTGCCGTTGAGAAAGTGTGAAAATTAGCTTCTACCTGCCAAACAGTAAAATAATTCTCAAATAATGAATTCATTCTTTAAATGCATGCATGTGAAAGTATGCAGATGCACAATAAGTACATAAATAATTAGCATAAATGGTATGAGTGAACTGAAATGGCCATCTCATAAGTGGAATAAACAGTCAATTCATGACTTGTTTAATTTATGTCCACAATTGACAGACCAGATTAAGCCAATAAAATAATGTCTTTGGATGTCAGATTCTTGGTGGCAAGCATGTTGGCGTACTAACTTATTATTGTAGCTAACATGTATCTATCCATTAAAACTAACAGGCTTTTCTTAGCTTCCCAAACGATTATGTTAGTGTAATATTTTAGATTAGATTCCAGCATAAGTATTTCTGTGCATGTTAAGACACAGGCTGACATCTTCTGTATAAACACCTGCAGCTAGTAGCTGGAGCCGAGCTCTGCCAGGTGCAATTTGGACTTAACGAGGCTGACTCTTTAACCCTTGGTCACTGCTCACAGTTTTGTCCCTCTCTCGTCTTGTTTATTTACAGGCTGTTGCATTAGCTTGAAGTTCAGTCTCTGTATGTGTCTAGGACCAAAGCTTTCCCCTCCACCTCTGTGTTAAATCCACAACAGCCCCTAAGCCCATACAATAAAAGCCAGCACAAGGGTCATACATAAGCCAGTGAAGTACAGAATCGGTAAGCCACATGGAGGCCTCGGACGGTCGGGGCGGTGAGGCAGCATTGAAGTGATTCTGTCTGGTAGCTAATGCTGCATCGAGGCTACAGAATTGGATTGTGGGGGATGGCGACTAATCAATTCGCTTCACTGTGAGCCTCCAGTAGGGTGCCCACATTACATCCCCTGCCTGCCTCGCAACACGACTGGCTGGGCCCACTTCTGACACCACAAATAGGAAACCAGATAGGGTTGCGTGTGTGTCTGTTGGCCCTCTCGGGTTTTGTACAGCAGAGTTTTAGATGGGCAGATAGTGTGACAGATTGGGTGTCTTGATCCGTTAATGTATCCATGTACTCCAGGTCCTGTGTACAGTAGAGAGGCAGCTACATTTCAGAGTGTTTAAATCCAGTGTGTCATTTTAAATGCTCGGTGCTTTGCGGGGAATGTTTCGGAAAGTTTTTTAAATGTTCGAAAAGTGATATGTTTGTATTTATGCTGGTCCATGGTGCCATATTTTATCTCCTGCTGTGATGCCACACTATCTGTGGAAGTCCTTCCTCCTTTTGTCCCGCAGTTTGTCCTTGTTACTCCCAGAATCCAGGGCCTGTGTGGTGGCCTGTAGTATTCTGTATTAATTATCATCCATCTGCAAAATATATCAGAAATGCGGGGTAGAGTTTAACTGTTACTTCTCAAAGCTCAAAGTGTCCTTCAGGCTTCTATTAGCTGTTTGAAAAGCTTCATTTTTAAGTACTCTCACCAACTCCTTTGGGCTTGATTTAAAAATGGATTTTCAAGTTTTTAGATTAGATGCTTTCTCCTATCATTTAATAGTGTCTTACTGTTTTTTAATCTATTTTAAATGGAAGTCACTGTGACAATATTTGAACAGGTTCAATGGTCTCACCCCTTTGTCTCCCTATCACTTTTCCTCTCCACCCTCTGCTGTCTCCCTCTTGTCTCTGTTCAGAACACTGTGAACTTTGTGGATGACAGTTTCCCCCCAGGACCTCGCTCCGTGGGCTTCCCCGAGGGCGACAGCGTCCAGCAGCGAATCAAAAAGTGGCTCCGCCCCCACGAGATCAACTGCAGCAACTTCAAAGACCGAGGCGTCAAGTGGTCCGTCTTCCGCACGCCACGACCCTCTGACATCCTGCAAGGCCTGCTCGGGAACTGCTGGTGAGCTATCAGAACCGAGACAAGGACACACAGGGCTTTCATCAGTCCAGATAACTTGGAACAATCTAGAGGCAGACCATTCATTTACAAAAAGGCTTGACAAGGAAGAGGTTGCCCTGATTAATGCTTTGACCCAGGACATACAAGAATAGCTGAAGATCCCCAAAGTAAAAGTACATTTTTCTTTCCGTTCGGTCTCTGAAAGTGCAGAGTAATATAAAACAGACAACAGATAACATTTCATGTCTGTGTAGTTTTTGAGTCTGCTTTAGATGAATACTGCAGCCTGAAGCTAGCAGAGAGTAGAGATGGAGACAGTGACGGAGAGGCAGTGAAACAGTAAGTAAAGAGCGAGAAACTGAAAAATTGGGAGGCAGAAAAAAAAAGAAAGACGGCAAGCATTAAATGAAAGAGGGAGCAGGATGTAGTTGGACGGATGCACAGATACACCTGACAGGGAGATTATTCACGGGAATGTGAGTCTGGACACATGCTTTATCTCTCTGCCCTTGTTCCGTGTGTCCTTTGGGGGTGTGTGTATATATATGTGTGTTGCCATCCACCATCTTCTTCCACACACACACACAACAAAGAACAGTCACTCACAAAGTTGTCCCAATACAACTTTTCGCTTCATCACCAGCACACACAGCTTATCAAAAATAACCCTCCCCAGAGCCGAATCCTCTCACTCGCAACAGGATGTAACCCTAATTCATCTCTCTCACTCGCTCGCTCTGATACACAGACACACACACAAACACACACTTACTTGTCCTAATAAACCAGCAAACAACCCCGCTCCCTTCAGCCAGCCAATGACAGCAGAAGAAAGTAGTGCCAGGCACCCTTGTCCTTGAGTACGGCTGCAATACAAGCTGACATCAGAGTGACATTATGACACGGCTAATTGGATTTTCATTTGATTTTTGTAGCCGATTGGTTTTTCATCAGTGGCTGAATGGGCTGATCGGCCTCGCTCAGCTGCCACTTGAACAGATGGAATATAGCTTTAATAATACATATTTCCAACCCAGCACAAAAATATCAGTCTTTAAACGATTGCTGCACCAACAAATATTGGTGGGTGAACTGATATTGCTTTTATCTGTACGTACAGTGGCAGTAATGCTAGTGGCAAAAGTATCTAGTCAGTTCGGTTAGTTTTAGTTGACATTAATGAGGGGGTCAGTGTACCGTACAGCGGTGAGTCAACGGCATACAAAGACACGTATTTTAAGCTTGTTGTCCCAAAACTTCTACAGTTTGTAGCTGTTTCATCAGTATTGTGTGAGCTCTTTCTATATTTTCAGATGAACTACTGTGCACTTTAAAATATATTCCTTTTAAGTTGGATCCCCTGTGTCCCCAGCCACATTTCTCTCGTGTGAGGAATTAGCATTTTCTGATGTATCCAGATTTTTGATTAACTAATTTCTCTTGCAAACTAATTAGGGGAGGCGAGCAAGTTTGTCTTTGCTGCAGGGTGAATTAACAGTAATGGGGAGGTAACCAGAAGGCATAGATGCTTGACTCATCAAATGTGATTGATTTTCAATGAGGGCAAATTATGTACAGAAAAAAAAAAATGTTTCATAACTGCTCAGAGTACCCTGCGGAAAAGGATGTTTTAATTCCACACTCACAGCTCATGGCTGCTTGTCAGTTTGTTTCAGTGTGATCTTTTTCTCTGATTGCGTTTAGCAGTTGACATTTATATTTCCTGTCTGTCATTCTGACTAAAGTGGGAATCCATTCAGCCATCCACCTGTCCGTCACAATAAGCTGATCATTTATGTCTCTGTGTCTCCATTTGTTTTACGGTGTAGTTCAGATTGTCTTTACGCCTTGTTTCAGTCACATCCTCTCGTTCAGCCATCTGTCCATCCTGATCAGACGCTTCATTTTCCGATTCATTGAGTTTTATTCCTCCACAGGTTCCTGAGCGCGCTGGCAGTGCTGGCGGAGCGTCCGGAGCTGGTGGAGAGGGTGATGATCACCAGGACCATCTGCCCCGAGGGGGCCTACCAGGTTCGGTTATGTAAAGACGGGACGTGGACAACGGTACTGGTGGACGACATGCTTCCCTGCGACGACTATGGCTACCTCCTGTTCTCCCAGGTCAGGAAGGGAGGGAGGAAAGGGAGGGAGGGATCTAGGGCAGCAAGTAATGAATGAATGGAAAAAATGGGGAAAAACAGAGGTGACTGAATGTCAAAGAGTCAATTGAGAGAATTATTGTGGAATTATACTGTATTCTGCTCATATAATGTTTGTCCTCTTCCAGGTCATAGAAGGTTAGAGAAGAGCCAAATAGAGATTTTGATCCATCTGTCCATCATGAGTCTGTCATGGTTAAAGAAGGGCAATGCTAAATTGGTTGAGTACTCCTTTAAAGGCAGCAGAAAGGAGAAGCAAGGACATAGAGTATATTGGAGATTTACATACTACTAAGAAGTATCTGATTTGTCAGTAAACAGGGCATCCATAAGTTGGTTTGTGCTCGTTCAGAGTAGTCACGTTCACCTCGCTGATGGAGTTACAACCTAACATTAATGTAAGATCAACTTCTTAATATAAGTTTAAGTTCATTCATTATCTAGCTCTTTACCACAAGCATGTCCCAAGGGAGCTCACAGGGGAGGATTGTACCTCGAGGTCAAATTATTCAACAGTCAATTACAGGACAAATTAAGTAATGCATTATACATCACATTACTAGATGTTGCAACTTTTCAGACCCTCTTAAACAACTGACTAGCAACAACGTATATAGACCATCAGGGAAAGGTGAGAAATATATTCAAGTATATTATACTGCAATTAATTCCGATGCACACTGCTTAGAATAACCGCAGTCCACGGCTCTTCTGCCAACAGCGCCGGGGTTCCTATCCCTCCTCTTGCGCCAAGCGCCGGCAGACAGTATGTGTGGCATGCGAAACACGTTTGACCTTTTCTCTCACTTTTTCTCTGGATTAGGGGTTCCTATAGCTTAGCCTATTTGTAAATGTTTACTCTAAACTTGTAAGCTTATAAATATTCAAAATAGTTCATTTTGTCTTCTCCCTCTCTTTTGTAGATTTTTTTCAAATTAAATGTATAATGTCCCTGCAGGGAGTCTGTGATTATTTGGCTAAATGATAATGATGTTCAAAGTGTGAATGTAAATTTCCACAGCTTTGCATTTGCACTGCAGTTTGCAGTGATGCATTTATTGATCAAACCGTTTGAAATAAACAAGAAACAGTAACTCAACCAATGAAAGAATAATGCACACTGATGGCCAAACACCTAGGGTGATTTAAATTTTTTATTCAAATATAAGTGCAGGAACCCGCTAGCAGAACTTCCATGATGGACCAGATTGAATCAATGAAGTGAAACAAAGCTCTTATAACGTATTAATGCATTAAAATATGTACTTCAATTTTGGGCAATGGTTGTTTAAGTTTGAGGCAGCTGAAAGTAGAATTTGGACAGTAGTGGGAACTAAACATGTAGGAAACAAAATGGTAAGAGAACAGTGATGTGTATGGTGATGATAAGATAAGAAAGAATAAATAAGACATTTGACCTTTTTTATCATGTTCAGAAACCTTTAAAGATTTGAGTCACAGCCAACAGGTTCAGAGCCAACACCTTAAAACAAGCCCCACAGTCCAAAACAACATCCTGCTACAAATGTGCGTCCGTCAGTGAGCTGTACCCGTGACTGAGACATGACTAAATATTTCCCACTTCTGTTTCCCATCATTCCAGGCCCAGAGGAAGCAGCTATGGGTGGCACTGATTGAGAAGGCCCTGGCCAAACTCCACGGGTCCTACTTTGCCCTGCAGGCAGGGCGCGCCATTGAGGGCCTGGCCACGCTGACGGGGGCTCCGTGTGACTCCCTGATGCTTCAAGTCAGCTCCACAAACCCTCGGGAGGAACCCATCGATACAGACCTCATCTGGGCCAAGATGCTCAGCTCCAAGGAGGCTGGGTAAGAGAGGGAGTAGAGCAGAATTTTGTTGCAGTTGCATCAGAAGGAACACTGTTTTTGCTGGTTTTGCTTTTCACTTAATTTATGTTCTGTTAAATAACAACATTTTTGCATACATTACATTAGTATTTTCTTGTACAGTACAGGGAATAGACAAAATAATGAATAGTAAACATTGGCAAATAACAACACTGAATCAACATTCTGTAATCTCAACTACAAACACGAAGGTGTTGCAAAGCCGCCAAGGTTCTGAATGCCAATTTGCAGCATATGTCAGTAATAAAAGAGGTCTGATAATAAGCCCTTTGATATGTGCGCTTTCAAAGCAACATGAGACAACTAGCCGCTCTCCAAAGGGGCTAAAATTATCTGTGGCCAAGATGCAAGTCCATCTGTCTGAAGTCCTGTGGTATTATTCATTATATCTAAGGGGAAAGGCCTGAAAAATCATGACCATATTCCCTTACTAAACCAAACAATAGACAACAAAGGAGCAGTAACACATGGAACATATTATTATATATTATATAATTTTTATATATTTATATTATATTTTCTGGTTAAATAAGTATTAAATAAGTAAAGAAACAATTAACTTAATTATCTATGCAAATCAGAAAGGAAGCACAGAATACTTTATATTTACAGAAACATTGAGGACATTATTTGTGATTGTAATTTTATGTTTCCTAATGATTTAGTGAATCCTATGTCTCACACTGTGTGTTGTCCTTGTTAGATTTCTGATGGGTGCATCTTGTGGAGGAGGCAACATGAAGGTAGATGACATTGTCTATGAGTCTCTGGGTCTGCGGCCTCGGCATGCCTATTCCGTCCTGGACGTACGGGATGTCCAGGGTTACAGGTACGGAAAGACAACAGAAGAAATGTCAGCTAGAGTCATTACCTGCCTGTCTTTTCATTGTTCTATGAGTTCTTCTAGACTCCTTTTTCTTTGTTTCTTCCCATTCTGATCACTTGATATTTCTCTTGGTACATCTTTCTCTCCCTCCTTATATTTATATATACTTATATAATCTTTGTAACAGCAAGTACAATAGTCTGTTAAGAGAAACCTAAACCTAATCTGCAGTTTAAATCAATTCACTTTTCAATTCAAAGATGGTTTTAGATAAATCCAGCCACTATGGGATCTTTTTGAATTTGCTCCGTTCTCCTAACGTTTTAGTTGTCTTAGGTGTTTTTCTATTTTTAGTCATGGCTTCTCTGTATTATTATATTGTATTATTGCCTTTATGTATTATTTATTTAATCACGCATACCTGTAGTCAAGCAGATTCTAACTTATCTGCCTGAACTAACCAATTCCTATTGTTTCTAAATGTGGTATCATTCAAACACTTCCAGAACCAGCCGCTCCCCCTGCTTTGCAGCTCTTCCTCTTCTAAGTTGTCTCATGGCTGAAATTGTTTTCTTTAATTCCTAATTTTCCTTCAGCCACATTTCTCATTCATGACTGTTGTAGATTTCATAGTAGAAACCAATGACTCATACAGCAGGTTTCACTGGCACGGGGTTGGAAAGAAACCACGTCTTAAAGGTTTGTTTACTCATTAAAAAAGCATATTCATAAACAAGTCTTGCCTCAGATTCAAGGCTACATTTTATACATCATATATATTGATGAAAATGTGTCCCAAGTTTAGAATAGATTGAATGGATGCATACTTTGTGAAGTCATTTCCTGAATGATTTACAAGTAGATGGGTTAGAGGCTTGATGCCAATAGAGATCAGGTGTATACCTTTCACGATAGCATTGCAACTCAACACAACGGAGGCTTCTTCTGTCCTACCTGCGAGAGGAAGTTGGTAGTAGCCGTAAATCCCAGATGTAATTTGCTCAAGAGCCTCACACAGCCACTTCAATTTACTGCCGTAAAGCAATCGGGGTGGAAGATTGGGCCACAGCACTTGATCTAAAATGGGTTGGAGTCCTCCTGCTAGGAACCAGAGGAGGTGAAAAGCAGCTTGGAAACTGATTTACCCACTTTTTTTTGTTTTTGTTTTTTTCCTGGAAAAGTGGGGACTCTTCAGTGGTTTTCCAATATAGTCCTTAAGTCTTTCCCTGTAGGGAGGAGGCAGTAAAATGAAATGGGTTGTTAAAAAGCAGGCAATCATCAATAAGAGGAGCAATGTGAGTTTGCAGAGATGGATTCAGCGTTGTCTGAAAACTGTTGACACTTTAACTGGATCCTGTATTTGGCTCTCCTTTTCCTGTTAATCATCATCCCTGACGCTCTTTGCTATGATTCAGGCTGTTGCGGCTGCGTAACCCGTGGGGTCGGTTTTCGTGGAACGGCAGCTGGTCGGACGAGTGGACGGACTGGCCACAGCACTTGCGTCACGAGCTGATGGCTCATGGCAGCAGTGAGGGCGTCTTCTGGATGGAGTACACAGACTTCATAAAGTAAGAACCACGATTACACAGATGAATTTTTTTTCTTTTTCGTGGTAATTGTGTGTGTTTAATCAGTCTCTGCGTGCTTGTTTTCACCAAGATAGATGCAACCACAAAGACAGTCTCATAATTTACTCACTCTTTCAGACTGTTCATTCCCATTTCACCCTCTTTCCCCCTCGTTCCCGAGGCATGGCAGCATCTAAAGTTGACACTGCACTTTAATATTGTGTCAACCTCTTTAGTGATAAGTCACCATTGCCGTGATTTATTTTTTACACTGTGCCTATCAGAGACTTCCGAGTCAGTCACTGTGCTCATATGATTGCATACACAATTTTTTTTTCTGCTCATTAATTTGAGCCATCGTGGCTGTAGTTGCTACCGCTACACTCACCTGCATCTTGTGTTTAATCCAAACATACCACTGTTAGAAATGTAAAATGAATGGCTTCCTGTGAGGATTCATCCCAGGAAGCCAACTGTTTAAAAGAGCAGATGTAATAGCTTTTGTTCACTGAGTACAGGTGAAATAACTAGTTCTTTAATTGTGTCATGGTGGAGGCATGTAATGTGCTCGAAGTGTTGGATAGCTTAGTAATCGTAGGCCTTTGTGGAGTTTGCTGACCATCTGGTACTGACACCAAAGCGAGTGACAGCATTTTCGGTTGTTGGTTGTGTTTGTTGACAGATGCATAATTGTGTTTTATCGTGACTGCTTTGGTTGACGGAGACTTTGCAGACAGAGGCTTAGACTTTTCATGACTCTCAGTGCGTTTGCTATATTAGATTAATCTTGTCATTCAGTCACACACAACAAGTGACTACTGTTTTTCTAGCTGTTCCTCTTTTAATAACATTTCATTGGTCCGTGACCTTGTGGAGGGCAGTAAACAAGGTTGCCTGTAAGAGTTTGATTGAAAACAAAACTAAGCGTAATCTGAAACATAATAGGCGACTGTTGCTCGGTGGTTTTCTAAAACTTACCTGAGTGCACCATAATGTTAAACTGAATGAAAACCGAAATGAATTACAGCCTTAAAATCAATTTGGAGCAAAATCTAATCTGTGTGCCTTTCAACAAAAAGTGTTTTTTTTTTTTTGTGCAAATTATCTGAATTTACACTAACAAATAGTGAGGTCATGGACAGGACCACGCTTGCCTAGAAAAGCGCTTTTCATACTGTCAGCAAACCAGGTGATCAATGGACGCTGTCACAAAGTCCACCAGGTTAGTAGGTTCACTTAAAGATGAATTGGGTGTGTGAGTGTGTGTATAGGTCTGTTATTCATGCCCCTCGTGTCTAACAAAATAAGAGTTGCAATAAGTCCAGAAGGATCAATGTGCCTGTCCTCCTGAACGACTCAAACCTGAAAAATGTATTCGGCCTAGACTAGAATCCATCTGTCTTCTGACTGTTTATTGTTTTCTCCGACAAACAAATAATCTCAGCTCTGTACTATATGACAAACCCACAGTCTGTGTCTCCCTAAACTTGTGTTAGTGGTCAGCTTGTCAGAAAATTATCAAGGCCTTTATATTGACTCGATTGCTTGCATCAAGTGGACAAATAATAGTGATGTTGATTATTAATAAAATTTCAGTGAACTAAAAACAAGGACTGCAGACATATTTATCTCTAGTGGTCTCAACCTACTGTCAAATTTCAGCATACCCAGCTTCCTTTCCCTTCATCCTGATTTTGTCAGAAAGACAAAAGTAAGATGTAAGACAGTTGTCTAAGCGAGGTTAGGAAGTGATGAAACAATAAAAAAAAAAGACTGGAAGTGAGGAAGAGAATGTCTCTCGGGGCCTTCGTCTTTGAAGGAGGAGGTCTGATATGTTAGCAAGGTAAACGGTGTTGTACAGCAGCACCCTCAGAGGCTATGCTAATGTTAAAGAGTTGCTTGTGATGCATGCAAATAGACTTGGCTGATGACGGGTGGAGAGACCAGGCGGTCAAACTGTTGGTTTCAAATTGAAGAATGTTGCCTTCTGCACATCTGGAAACATGATGCCCTGTGATTGTATATATACTAAAGAAGGCTCTGACCTCTCATTCATCTCCTCCCGCAGGTACTTTGACTCAGTGGACATTTGCAAGATCCACTCAGACTGGCAGGAAGTGAGGTTACAGGGCTGCTTCCCCAGCAAAGCAAGCGGGCCGGTCACCGTCACCGCCCTCACTGTGCTCGAGAGGACGGCATTAGAGTTTGCTCTCTTCCAGGAGGGAAGCAGGTAAATAGGACAGTCTTCAGCATTTTTGTTTTTTGCCCCTCCTCCCTCCTTTCTTCCCCTCTCCCCACCCATTTTTTTTGCCTAACCCCATTCATCTCCTCTCCCTCTCCAGGCGTTCAGACACAGCCGACAGCCACCTGCTGGACCTGTGTATCATGGTGTTTCGTGCCTCCTTCGGCAGCGGCAACAAGCTGACTCTGGGCCGCTTGTTGGCCCACAGCAAGCGAGCGGTGAAGAAGTTTGTTGGCTGTGATGTGATGCTGGAGCCTGGGGAGTACGCCGTCGTCTGCTGCGCCTTTAACCACTGGCAGATGAATGTCAGTGGGTCGGGAGGTCCACCCACACCCAGTAGGTGTACAGACGCAATGTGCACATGCAGCGCTTTTGTGTTTTTGCTTATGAGTATTTACTCGACATTAACAGGAACCTTAAGTTGACTATAAAGGTAAAGTAGAAGAACATAAACGTCTTCTGAAGAATATAAACGTCTTCTTCCCAGTCTCAAGCCCCACCAGCGGAGCAGCGCGACGGCCCAGCCAGGACTTCCCCGGCTACATCCTCGCTATCTACAGCTCCAGACAGGTGATGGTGGAGCAGGTGGAGGCAACCGCCACCACGCTGGCCGACGCCATCATCCTTCTCACAGAAAACAAAGGCGAAAGACACGAGGTGAGAGACACACTCATTTCAGAACGAGAGAACAGCTTCCACTTTCTTTCTCTTTCCTCCCGTCTTCCTGTCTCACATGTACCCACAAACACACATACAGTTTGTGCGTCTTTGAATAGAATATATATCTATATGCTTGTGAAGCAGGAGAACATTTGCGACTCTGTAAGCCACTTTGAGATAACACTTTCGATTTCCTCAGCAGTCCTGAATCCTGTTCTGCATTTACACATGCAAGTACATGCACATTATTTCTCATACACACACACACACACACACTCACACCCATGGAAACAAATTCTTCTGGCTCTCCTGAACTGTGCTTTCCTGAAAGTGCTGTCACACTGGCTGGTGTTTTAGAGAATGACAGAGCTTTTTAAACACTTGAGATCATCTCCGTAAAGATATTTAGCTACGTAGGAATTCACCGCTGAAGGTTGATGGGCCAGGCACTTGGGAGTGCATGACTGCCACTACACGAATGCTAGTGTCTTAACAATGTGGTTTAAAATAATAGGAGGATGCAGTGGGATTACTGGATGCTGTTAACTGGGCCACTAGATGTGAAATGACAGCAGCTGAAGCAGTTTAGCTGCACTTGTATTCACTTTATTACAATGCCAGTCCCCAGAAGAGAGATCAGAAACCAATGTATTAGAAATGAAAGTCATCTTACCTTCAGAGAGAGTTTTGCCATGTTGAAAGCAACAATTTAAAAAACACTGCTGGTGTTGATGTGCCTTTACAATGTAGCTACATTGCAGTTAGATAGCCGAATATCTTTAAGCCATCTGAAACACCAGTGTCAGTTTTTTGGAGGCGGCACATCAAAGACTTCTCATATCGGTCATACTGCCAGAAACCAGTCTCTCTGAAGATGGTAGCCTCAATAGACCAGAATGCCATGCAGTATGTTTTATTAGGGACAAAACTTCTGTAGCCCTTGTTATGCTATCAGAAGAAATATTACTCTCTACACTATGCAGCACTAAAAAGGATTGTTTGGAATATAAAGAATACAAATTGGAGGGAGAGCAGCAAAATCATACATCATGTTTCTAACACTGTATGATCCGTATACACATGTAGCACTAATTTAATCTGCATACAAAATCACTGAGCACTGGATCCTTCTACACCACAACCAGTTTTTAGTAACAGGACTCCTTGCCCACTCCACTCGCACCTGTATTAAATTTATAATTTGTGAATTTTTTAATCAAAAATTGTGTTTCTCAAGCTCTGTTGAAAGAGTCTGTGAGCTCAGGGAATGTGTGACAGGCTTGCAGCAATCAAAAACACAGTTTTATGATATGTTTTTATATAAACGCATGATCCCAGAGGATTAGTGCTCTATATTTCTTAATAATGTACTTTAGATTTGTCTCAGCACAATTATAGCTGCCTTTGTGTTCTGTTAGTCCACATTCTTCCATGCCCATTACAGCCAGTGCTTTAAAGACCTGAAAGATACTATAGGCTGAGACACACCTGTAAAAGCCAGCACAGTGGGCTTTCTCACACATCATTAGGTTTCTCTGATTTTAGGTTCTAGGTTCTCTTTGGACATCTACTGTATGAATGTTTCAGTTGTACAGACAAATTACAGCACACATTACTGTAAATTTACAACCTCATCTCCTCGGAGTTATGTCCCACATAATGGGAAACTGTAAAAAGTCACCATGCATTTTCTCTCATCTAACAACAACATTATGTCAATTCCCTTGATAGAACACTCACTGCTGCAGTATCACAGTGCTATTTTCTGATGTTACTCATTTGCTGTTATACAATCAGTTTATAGATGAAAAGCATTTAGCAACTAGCTAATTATATTAAGGACAAGATGTAATTCTCACTGGAGTGTACTCAGATATCCTTAAGAAGATGGAAGTGTGAATTACACTAATATTTTACTCATTTACTTTCATAATATTTCCAGATCTTGTTCTCAAAATCGGCTGAATCAGAAAAACAAACTATCCTAGAGTGCTGAATAATCAACTTGTCTTCCTCAAATTCTAGCTTTAACTTTGCTGGCCAACTAATCAACACTTCCAAGATCAGCGGCATATTTAGGGACTGTATGAAAATACAGAAAACATTTTTTAAGGCAAAGGTCTTTTACCTTTTTCTCATCCCAGATTTATAGTTGATTTCAGTCTTCCCTTGTGTTTATTTAAACATTTGTGTTTGATTTAATAAAATAAAAAAAAGTTCTAAACTGATTCATATTCATTTTGATTAATTGGAATCCGGAGTAGCAAAATCATTGGTATGCTCGAGTCCATCAGACGCAACAGACAGACAGTCGCCTGTTCGCTCTTTAAATAACTTTAACTCTTTAATCTAAATTTGAGACTGCCTGCATGGTCACTATTTCGTTGTTTTGCATAAATATATTATTTTTAGATTATTAAGGTAGCAAAGTAAATGAAGATAAGGGGAGAAAATATTAATTATGCTGAGGGGGACCTCAGATTCTGTCCCCCATCTCGCCGCAATAATTTTCATACACTCCCTTAACTACACCATATACAATAGACAACAAAAAAATACCCTAACTGCATTCAGAAAAAACTGGCCTAAAGCTGGTCTCTCAGCTGCTCTCTGTTTTTGAATGCTCTCTGTCTCCCCCTGCAGGCAGGTACTGGTGGTGCTTTCACAGCTGGAAGGAAACGCCGGCTTCTCCATCACCCACCGCCTGGCTCACCGCAAAGCAGCCCAGGCCTCCCTGGGAGACTGGACCCCCACAAAAGCCACCCACAGCCCCCAGCTCACTCCAGACATTGATGGCCTGCACCGGCCCAGGCCACTATGACCACCGCCCACTATCTCACACACACACACACACACTCACACACCGATTATAATCCAATGTACTGTCAGTCCACTGGAAAACCAGGCAAGGGAGGGGCGGGTGGTGCGTATTTGTGTGTCTTTTTATTTTTATTTTTTTTTTGGATGAACACACACCTGAATGTAAAGCATAAATGGCCAGCGTTTATGTGCTGTCCTCCTAATGCTCCATTAACGCTAAAGTCTTTATCTGGCTAGTGCTGTCTCCCTTGCCAAGTGGATGTGCCATGTCAGGATGAAATGAGGGAACCGTACTCGCAAAACAATTTTTTCACCCAGGCACCTAAAAGATTCCAGTTCCAGACTACTTAAAAAAAATAATGGACGTTTTTTTGGTGCAAGCGCTGTACGTGGAACAGACGTCACCCCCCGGGTCCGTACGCTCGGGGGACGACCCTGCTTTCGGCGAGCGTCACAGAAGTCAGGGTGGAGTGTCGTAACTACTGAGCCATTTGTCGTCCCACAACCTATGAGCCAATCACCCACAGCGAGACAACCCCCTCTGTCATCCACGAGGACAGATAACAAAGCATGAGACTTCAGAGGGGGCGGGGGGGGATCAGTACGGTACTTCATGAGCCAAACCCAACTTCTAGTTTTACTCAGTCATACATGTTTGTTTTTTTATTTGAGAGTACACATGTCAGTCTTACTCATTTTATACACCACCTGTTGCTGTCTTGTCCATGTTTGTGTTTTTGAGGTTGTAGAAAAAGCCATCATTCATACAGTACTGTCTGTCCCCCACTCTCCATCATTGCCGCAGTGCTGTCTAGCGCTCTCTCTAGCTCAGGACCAAACCCACGATTTGTACAGTAAGCTGGAGTCAAGCAAAACCTCAAGCTGATGTGTGTGGCAGGTGTGTGGTGCCCTGGAATTGCATCTTTCTGTTGTTTGTCCCTCAACACACTTACCAGCCAAGCTGTGGTGTAGAGAGCAGTGTTGTAATGGCAGGTTGTACCTTGTGAAATGCTGACACATAATAGAATTCCCACCCTCGTGCTTCAATAGACTAACATAGAGTTTTCACATTTTTCCCTACAGAGAAACAACCGCTGTACCTCCGTTCTTTTACTCAGCCTTAGTTTGGGGTCTAAACGCTGGAGGCGAGTCATTACATGACCAGCTTTGTAGTTTTCCCCTCGGGCACGTTGGCTTTTCTCATCCAGTTCAGCAGTCAGTTTATATCTTTACACATAAATTCCACACTTGTGGAGCAACTCCGATCTCCAGATGCTTAATGCTGCCTGGTTTGTTACACTCCAATATTTGTGACTACATTTTTTTGTTTGTTTGTTTCTTTTTTGGTACTGAAGGTCAGTGAGTATGTGTCTATTTCTCACACTTCAACAGTTTGCCAGTGTGTTGATTTACACTTTAGTGTACTGAGGGAGTACTAGAGGAGCTAGTGGCTGTTTGAACAGTCAGTTTGCCATAGGGGAGCTCTTAAAAGGAGCTGCCGAGTTTACTTTGGGAGGTCAGGGACCATTTTTTGTTTGCTTGGGTGCAGCGCGAGCATCTGGGCCATCCTCCCGCAAGAATACACCGACAGCACATTAGCGACAGCACAGTGTCCTCGTGTAATAACAAATTACCATATTGTCAGACTGCGTGCACACATAACAAGGGAGCGGAGGGGACCCCTGAGACGTGTTGTGACACAGAAAATAGTCGAGTTCCCTCGCAGTTTGGGCTGTGTTAGTTTCAGAGGATGGTTGCCTACGTTAGGGCCCCGCCCGCTTGATCTTTCCAATTTCTCCTGTGTCAAAGCCATTACTCCTGTTTCACTAAGGATCTTTTAGTCCTCACCATAGCAACATGTTTTTTATCAGAGAGAGGGGAAAGACTAATGCGGTACTATAGTAACAGGATGGAGTGGGAGACTTTTTTTTTTCCAAGTCAAAGTTGATGTCTATTATCGTAAAATGGGTAAAAACTTGAAAGTAAGAAAGCAAAGTTCGTGGAGTAAATGCTTATTTTTAACATTAAACATTAAAGTTCCAACATGAGACGATTCAGTTCGAGGCTTAAGCTCATCGACCTTGAGTTGAATGAGTGCAGAAACATGCAACCTCTCATGAGCTTTGTCCCGAACGCTTGCGGTCTCGATGACTTACTCTGCACAACCACGTCTACCAGCGCTGGTGGGCTGCACTTCACAACATCTTCAGGACAGTTTGTAAGAAAACTACTACAGCAGTGTAATGTTTCTTTGATGAAACCTGGAGCTGAAGTAACTGTAAATATGTTTTCCAAAGAAAAATAATGACCACTTTCAGATGTCTGTCTGACCCTGCGTGAGTGTGTGCGTGGTCGCAGCCAAGAAGCTGTGAACTTAGTGTCTAATTTATTTGTATAAGTGATTTGCAGGCCTGTTGTCTAATGAATATTGATTCTGAACTGATGAATGACGGATAAAGGAATGTGATCATTTACGGCTTTAGTTTAAGCCCAGAGTGATTAGCTTGACGAGAAATGAACCTGCACTGAAACACCTGCAATGACAAGGCACCTCTAAATTCAGTGTCACTGCTGGATCACTTTACATTTACATAGGATTGATTTTTATTACTATGTTCTTTTTTTTTTGTCATTGTCATTTTGGCTCTTTGCTGTCCTATGAAACTGCTCCTTTTCTGTGAAGTTGTGGTGGTGACTCTTCTGTGCGTCGTGGGCGCCCCCTGCTGTCGAAGAGGCTGCAGCCAGAGAAAAGCTGGTCATTTACAGACCAACAACGCTTTTTCTCTCTTCTCCTTTGTCTGGTTCCTTTCCTTGTAAATTGTACAGACTGCGAACTTAAGCCACATAAAAGATTTAAAAAATCACAAAAAAAATAAATAAAATGAACTGACCCTTTTAAACTTGTAAAAAATGAAAGTATGATAGTAGAAACAAAAAATGAAACTTAATGCTGAAAAAAATGGAACTCTGATGAATGTGATATATATTTTATTGATCTTTTCTTGGGGGGGGTATATGAGTATATGTGTACAAACATGTATGTTTAATTTTCAATCTCAGGTTCAGATGGACCAAATAAATTTTTTTAAATTAAAAGGGAACATTTGTCATTATTACAACACATACGAATGTCCATTTCTTAAACGGTAACAAAGAGGGCTGTCTCAGTTTGGGATTGGAAAAAACCTCCCAAGCACACAGAATAATGAACTGTCAGAGCAGAAATGAGTTCAGAATTATTTATACTCGATGAATAATAAGTGAAAGTCACCACTTAAGTTGCAAATACTTAAGTGGAAAAACTGTATAAAAGGATAATGTATTTATACATCAAACGTATTTTTCACTTACACATACACTTGTTTACTGCTCTTATTGATTCCTGAAATCCTCTATCTGATGTGTTTGTTATCATTGATTCTTCTTTGCTCTTCATTTCCTCGTCTGTGAAGTCCCTCTTCTCGTCTCTGAACTCCCTCTCTCCAGCAGGCAGTGTGTGTTTTTGCAGAATATATCTCTTGTATCATACTGTAGTGTTTGTGTGCATGTGTCCACTCTCTATCTGAGTCCCCACCTCTTCTCCCAGATCCCCCCATCTCTCTCTTCACTTTCTCTCTTCACTCTACCCCCACCCTTCTTTTTCTAAAAATGTACTTCTGTCCTCTCTTCTTCAGCCCCCCATCCTCCTCCCCAACCCATCCAACAACTCCCTCTCCCACCCATTAGCTGCCCCCCCCTGTGGCTCTCTGGTTTTTTGACCCCAGCAGAGATACTGCGGAGGCTTCACAACGTGGTAATAACATAAGGAGCTGTCAATCTTCTTCTTCTGTACCAGGAACCAAGAAGAAAAGGCTCTCAGCTCATCTGGAACCAAAGGTATGACTGCTCAAATATCTGTCCATGTCTTGGCGCTGTGACAGAGTCATCTTCTTCTTAGTACGGAGTGCAATTGCACGGCAAGGTGAAAATGTGATAATGCTGTAGCCAGATAGTCAGTGGGAGGACTTTGCATGCTAAAAACTTAACATTGTCACGGTCAGATATGTGAGGAGAGAAAAGCAAAAGACCTGCCCTCTCATGGGAAATCTGTTCATTTCCAACCCCATGCTTCCCTGGTGCACTGTAGATATGAAGGAACTAATTAGATATAGGCCTTTCAATTTTGTCTGCAGACATGATAAGGCTAAATCCTTTCACAGCAACACTTATTATAAAATTGAAAAGATAGAGTTCCTCAACGTAGAGGAAATGTTTTCTTCATGTCCAACTGGAATGAACAGCATTGTGAGTACAAAAGATTCTCTGTATGATAAATAAAAAGCATTTATTGTGTCTTTTAATTGAGAATAGAGTTTCATTGCTGCAAGCTGTATGGAGAATTTCAAGGCAAGGTTAAGTACTGCTGTACTTCAGAAACAGGTAGTTTATCACTATAAATAGGAAAACAAAGGACAGGAAATGGATAATATATTCATAGCCCTGTTAAGTCATTGTTGGATAATATATTTTTTTCTCTGGTGCAATTATTTATTTCTACAATATGCCACTACCTCCTTCTGTGACCTGTGCAATATTATATTTTAACTAATATCACCCATAAAAATACTTTATATAGTTTGCACATACAACCCTAATTCTATTATTTTATTTTATTTTTGATATCTTGTATTTTTGTATTTTATTTTGTTATTTAATGTGTATTTCTTTTTTTTGTCTTATCTGCTGTGTTATATCTGGAGCTGAATTTCCCCAGTGTGGGATCAATAAAGTCATTTTTTTTTTTTATCTTATCTCATAAGTAGATAAATGTAGCATACATGATTTTAAAAATAACTAATTCCTGAATGTTGGTTTCAAGCAAAATCTAAAGAAAGACTGAAGGAGGCATGTGAGCTCCTGGTGAGTGTCACCACCAGATGATCACATTTCTCTCCCTTCCTACCCCCCTTCCCCATGTCAGGCCAACTAAATAAATCAACTAAAAGTCTCCCCACATGGTGTTTAGCCAGAGTGTATGTGTTTGACAGAGGGTGTATTTTAAAGCACAAGGGAAATCCTGGTCTTTGGCCTATACAGTGTCAACTTCACACTATTGTATCTATGTTGAGAAAAGATACCAACATCTGCCTCGAGATTAACACAATTCAGAATAACTACTGTCTCGGTTTGGTTTTTGTACAGCTGGTACCGCCGTTGCTTGGTGAAAATCTCATATCCTTGACAAAGTCAGATCTGAAATCTGGAGAAGCTTACTTTGTGTATTTGTGTATACCTTTAAAATGTTATCATTGGTTCCAAAATAGCTTTTGTGGGTCTGGGCAGCAGTGATACACCCTGTCTGGAGTTTTCTAACAGCAGTGAAAATTGTTGTGGTGTTACTTGGCCGTCAGGGTGTTTATTCCAAATACTTCTGTGTGGCTTGTGACTGTATGTCCTTCCACCAGAGTCCCCATTTCCAGACCTGCTTCTTCTCATTTTTCAGTCTGACATGGTGGTGGTGGTGGTGGGAGGGGGGTCCCTGTCCCTCATATCCCACTGACTGCTTTGGACCTGTCAGAGAGCACCCAGCACACCCAGATAAACTAATGGATGTGATGTTTTAAAATGTCAAAGGGGGGTACATTGATGGGGGGTGCATTGTTTCAGATACCAGTGAGACAATGAAATATGATCCAGGTTGCAGTTTAAGTGACGGATCCAAGAGTTTAAAGGCTTATCAGGAGGGGCGGGTCCACATTTTATTGACTGCGGTGGCACAAGTGTGGCACTGACTTATGCAGAAGTGGCATGAAGTACGTGCGCGCGCGCACACACACACACACAGACACACACAGAAACACACGTCGGAATAGCATTAATTTACCATTTTGCATATTTACTTAAATGCTAACATTACAGTGTCTTACTGTTTCCTACATTCCAGAGTTTAAAGCTTTAATTTAAAAGATAAATAATGCCACCAATCACAACACAGTGGCACCATACAAATACAATGTAAGGCTTCTATACTTTATCATTTAAGTCGTCGCTCCAAATAAAGGCTATGTACAAAAGAAATAGGAGTATGCATGCACATCCATGAAGAGGGCAGGTGCTAAAAGACAAAAGTAAGCAAATATAGAAAAAGTAAACTGCTCACACTGCAGGGCTTACTTTAATAAGTAGAATAAATAAGTGGACATTGGAACTGGTAGTGAGCGAAATGTTTCTTTATTTATTTACATACAATAAGAAAACAATGCACATTTATAGGATCAAACTAATGTCCTACTTCTTACTGGGTCAATTTAGACTGATAATGGGATGCCACAGAGGACTGCCCTGGGCACACCCCAGCTTATCAGACAAGAAAAAACTGCATAGCATTTTATAAACCTCTGTGACACACAACAACAATAATTTTATCTTTCACTGTGATGATCATGAGGTAATCTGTACAAACATGGTGCTTGGGTTACAAAGTAATCTACAAAGAAGGTGGCCAGGCGGCGCCTCAGTGGCTGTAAAATGAAGTCAACACGAAAGTAACAAAAAATGCAATTCCTCAAACGGCCCCTTGAGGCTGTCTACAGAAGTGAGTCAGTCTTTAGAAAGCCCCATGTTAAAATCACAGTCACAAGTGCACATGCACTACAGTGTTTGTCTGAAGTTTGCTTTGTTACACTGGTAACAGTGTCCTGGAGTACTCCTGTGCATCACTGCAGCAAGGCGAGGGGTTCAAAGACAGGAGTAAGCCAAAACTCTGACTCTTTAACTGGTCGTCCACCATTTTCAATGGACCAAACATTAAGTGATAGATGTTCAGTACAGTCTAATGAAACTTGAATAAATAAGTGTTTATTCCTCTCCTATAGTGGTAATTAAAGACCACAACATGGCATCCCAGATCCCAGCGCTCCCACAGTCCTATGCTCCAGGGACTGGCAGCGTCTTTTCTGACCAGTCAGGCTTTTACGCTCTGGACTCCAGTGTTCCTGGGCTCTCTAAGGTGATTCTTAACAAGCTCAACATGAAGGACTACAGTGAATACAGGTAAAAACTGTTGGATGTTACTCTTCTGAACATCAAGACTTTTATTAGTTTATATGGCATATATGTTGATTGGCTATGTTGGTTGCACCTTATGGCTTCATATATCCCATGCTTTCACAACTTCGTCACGTGTTGTGCTTGCCAAATGTGTCTATAAGGGCTGCTGTTGAGGGAAAGACGAAAGGAATCTCATTCCGCACCTACAAGGAGTTGTTCCAGAAGATGGAGGAGACCTTCAAGTTTTGCACCGGCTGCAGCAAACTCCCAGAGCATCTCACCGAGGGACAGACCCTGAAGCGCTGTGTGAAGTGAGTGCAAAGCCACAACTTGAATGGTGATGCTCTAGAATGACTGCAGAGAGATGTGTTGATGTGTGATCCGTGATGCATGATTTTGCAATATTCTAGAATTAACTCTGATTAACATTAATCACTGTTGACAATCTGAATATATTTAAGGCTACTGAAACCCACACTGTTCTCTCGTCGGATCTATTATCACCCGGTCAGGACACTGATATTGTTGTCCAATAGCTGTTATGTGTGAAGCATTTCCAGTTGTCGGTGTATCAGCGGCAGAATGATAGGCCACCAAGGTGTGGACAGCTCTACAGAGGTGGACAATGGCCAGTGGCAAATATAGCAACGTCCCCTGACTGTGATTCATTTCTCTGCAACTTGGCAGCTTATTAAGAACAGCTTAATGCAGTTTTATAATGTCACAACATCACAGAGTGTATTTCAAGCAGCGTATCGAGAATAATTATTACAGCATCCTGCATATTTACAAGTGCCTCATTGTTTTTGTGCTTCATTTTTCTTCTGGCTCCCTGCTTCCTCTGTTGCTCTCTTTCTATCTTTCTGATTCACACACACTTACACACACACACACATACTGTCTTGTATGTGCGGTCCTTTGAAATTCTCAGCTGCCACTGCCACTCTCAGAAAATTTACCATCAGCAGACATTTGGACTGCTGACAAGTAAAACCCTAAAGAACTTTAAAACCCTAAAGAACTTTGACATCTGAGAATTGACACAAATACTCCAACCTGCCTAGGACTTCCATCCATCTTTTTCATTCTAATTCTGATTCATATTAATTTTTTTATTGCTCTTAAGGCTGAGATGTCTCTGCAGAAGTGTTTTATATTTTACCTTTCAAGGGCACCTGTGTTTTCTCACCTTCTTTTGTCTCACTTTGTCCACCTGTAAGCCTCATTTGGAGGATTAGTACGCCCAAAGTGTCCTATTACAGAACTACATGTAACATGCTGATAAATGATTTTATGGAAATGTGGGTGCCTCTAAGGCTGCAAATGTTTGCAAGGTAAAGTAATATAGTCTCCCAAGGCACCAACTGGCACAGGCTCTCAGACCTCTAATCTAGCACATTACCTCACCAGTCACCACCTTAACTGTGTGCCACAACATAAAAGCCCAAAGAGGTTATATGTTCGCTAATAAATTCCAGCATCTACCTAATGCGGCTATTAGCTGTTGTCTAAAACAGGACAGAATTCATAGTCAGTGTCATGAGTTAGCCGCTGAATTACAATTTCTATATGGATGTAAGACGCTATTTATGTCCTGGCACAAGACACCCTAGCTGATCGTCTAATAATAAAGATGCTACCCTGATATATGTTACAACTGATGCACCCATAAATGATTTTCTCATGGCCCACAGCTGATTCAATAACTGATAGCAGTGCTTTGGTTTGCATCAAACACCTGAAGAGTTAAGCATTATTTAATCACAGTCCATCACTGATGACTTAGGCATAGCATCGCTTTGAGCTAATGCTAACATTAGCATGCAAACATTCTCAGCATGGATATATGATATCTACACCCATCATTCTCACCCTGACGGTGCCAACATGTTGATCTTTAGCAGGTATAGTGATTACCATATTCAGTATATTAGTTTAGTGTGTTATGCTAACATTTGTAGATTAGCACTCAACCCAAAGCACAGTTGAACCTGATGGGAACATCATTAGTTCTCCAGGCATTTGGTCATGAACCAAGTAAATGGGCAAACACAAATTTGATCTGATGATAGATAGTTAAAAAGGTTAGAGGATCACCAAAGTCATTAGAAATCGTCCTCTGGGGACCTCGAAACTGTGTAGTACCTTTCCCTACAATATCCCTTGCACTAGTTGTCAGGATAGTTCAGTCTGGAGCATGGTGGTGCAAAGGTTGAGAGTATACAACCTTGTCAGTTAAAATGCTCCTTTTTGTTTAACTTGTTTAACTTCCATGCCTTGCATAGTTTCTGCCATTTCATTTCTGTCCATCCCCCCCCTTTTCCCCCCCCCCCTTACGTCACATGCTTGAACGTGTATCTACTGCACCAAGGAATGTCAGAAATAAAGACTGGCCTCAGCATTTAAAAAAAAAAAGGTTTTTTCTGCATAGATGCTGACATCTGGTGGCCATTGACAGACGTTAGCGTGGAGTGGCTGATGTTCACTGGTGGAGAAGATGAAAAGGCGGTGCAGCTGAAATTAAATGCCTCTAACTAGCTGTTGAGTTCACAAAACAAGAGAAATCACATTAATATCGGAGATGGCATATTTTAGAGCTGGCTGCAGAAATTAAATGCCTGATGAGGACAAAAAACTGACAGAAAAAAAAAGTCACCATGGTTGTAGTACTCGTGTCATTTTTTGAAATTCTGATTAAAGTTTCCTACAGCCTTCGAATCTTCTTGATTGCTTTTCAAACACCACTGTTGAGACTGCTAGACAGAAATCAACTTCTCGTGGTCTCCTCAGTTTTGTATTTTGTTCATTTAAATCCAAGTCTTTTAATAGAATGATTCTTCCCACCCCTCCTAGTTCTGTGAGATTCCTCCCCTATTCTCCCCACGAGATAGTGGTCGCAAGGCAGTTTTTTTGGGTGTGGTATATTTTTTTGTCGCAGATTGGTCTAGATAGGAAATTCTGGGTGTGATATGGACTGGTTCCCTGTAGTGCTCAGAACGTCCTGGGGGGCCTCGCGTTCACGTCCATGGGATCCACCATAACTGTTGTCCGGTGTTCCAGTGATCATAGGGGCAGATATCCCTTTGAAGAAGTCAGGCAGTGGCCTATAGGCGAGATGACTCTCTGAACTGGAATCAGTTTCTTGTCTGTATGCCGGGATTCAGATGTGAGTTCCTCTCTCGAGTTCTCTTACCAGCTGCTCGTGGGCACGATGCAAACGTTTCTCGGCTCCTTGGACCCGGTACGCTAGTGCCTTCTCTCACCACTTTTCGATCTCTTTGTTAGCGGGGGGATCATTTGGCCGGACTATAATGAGTCATCTTGTTCGGATGGGGGGTAGTGTTGGACCGGAGCTGTGTTGATGAGGGTCTTGAACAAATTCTGGGTCCCTGAACACCAGGGGTATCGGGGGAATCAGTCTTGTTGATGGTAGGGGACCGATGGATTGGTTGGGGTGGTGGGATGCGCGCTCGCGCTCCCGAGTCTCTGATGAGGCCTCTCTCTCATATAAGGCGTTTGGCTCTCCCCCTAGCAGAAGGATTCGACAGTCGCTCTCTGCAACCACGATATATTGGGCGCTCTTCTATATACCACCTTGTAATGTTTGTATGTTTTGTTTATTTATTATTGTTGGGTTTTGTGAGTGTTGTGCGTTGTTGATTCTTTGTTTGTGTGGTGGTTTTATTCAGGTGGTGATTTGTTAGTTTCGTGGATTTGTTTGTGGTTCACACTTGTTTTGTTTTGTGTTATGGGTTTGGGTTTTTTTTATTATCATGTGTTTGTTTCTTTCGTGTTTGTTAGTGTTTTCTGTGGTTTATTTTTATTTTGTATGTAGTGTCCTTTTCGCGTTTCTTGTGTTGGTTTTTTTAGTTCCAGTTTGTATTTTGTGTTGCCTGTGCTGTGGCGTGGTGGAATCTTGGTTAT